GCATATATATGATATATATGACAGTATTTAGATTTTTCATTAAACATTCTACAAATTAAAATATAAATGCAAAAAATGTAAATATACTTGGACATCATATGTAAGAAACATGCTCTGCACTGTTTTCTTTATGATCTGGTACCCGAATGTATTCTCATCATAGGAGCTGATGGGCAGTGGGTCGAATCCATTGACCAGCTCTACCTTCACACGCTCATCTGATACAGTTGACTCGACCAACTCCAGAACCTAAAAGAAGACAATGAATCAAACTATGAAATAGTTCAGACAGAAAGAGTTTTTATTTAACCATTGTAAATAGCATTTGATTTAAAGGGATAGCCCACTGAAAAATTTAAATTCTGTCATCATTTACTCACTACCCATCTACAGTTAATCAGTTTTTAAATCATGAGAAACTGGTTGGTGTGAAGAGCTAAAGTTAATAGATGAGCTATCAGAGTTATAGGCTGGACTGAATGAGTCATTGCTGTGGCAAACGGCGTGACCTCTCACCTCCTGCAGTGTTTGGGCTGAGTGGATACGGAAATTGACAAATGCTTCAGCATATGATGGGATTACGTTAATCTGTCAGAGAAAGAGAAGTAATCAGATCTACCTTCATGCTACTTTGTGAACTAACGTACAACAAAAAAAGAGAGGCCCACCTTTACACCTGAGTTAAACATAGTGACAGCAGTTGTGGTCCTCACAAATGCATTTGTGTCAGGTTTTCTCTCCAACACCCTGCATATGAAAGGGATTTTCCTGGGTTTTACATGCTTACATGTTGCAATTAATTAATAAAGCTTTTACTTAATTAGTTATGAAAAAATAACTCGATTAAAATATTTTAACGCAGTTAACGCGCTGGCCCCGCCCCCAGACCTGTACATCATCTTACATTTCATACAGTTGACTGTTGACAAATATGATGCAGAGGGCAACAACTCCATAAATGCAGTTATGCCCTAAAATTTAAGATATTGGTGCAAAAATGCCCCTGTATGTGTTTTTGTCTCATATTTTTGTGTGATTTTTGTGAGAGCAATATCACACAAGTGCTGTTTGTCCCGAATATCACGAGTGCAAATGTGATTTTACACAACAGTTCAGTAGATAAGTTGATATTGTGCTATATTTTAAACATGATATCATGCGTTTTTGCTCAATTTTGCAGAGAACATAAGTACCTTTTAAAGCTATAGCAGAATTGTTGTGCATCTCCGAACAGCACAGCGGTGTTTAGTTTCTGAATGAATCCACGTTTTGAACGAATCATGTGAACCAATGATTCAAAAGCCCATTCATAAAGAGAGCCATTTACTGAATTCCTGAATGAATCAGCCGTTTGAATCAAATAAATAAATGACTCATAAAGACATTTACCGCCACCTGCTGGCAGATGTAGTTTCTTATTTAGAGTATCATTTAAAATAAATAAATAAATAAAATAATAATAATAATAATAAAATATTAAAGGGATTGTTCACCCAAAAAATTTAAATTCTGTCATCATTTACTCAAACCTGAATGACTTACTTTCTTTTGTGGAACATAAAATAAGGTATTTTGAAGACTGTTGTAACAAAGCTGTGTTGGTTACCAGACCAGTGACTTTCATTGTATGAACAGAAAATACTGAGATGTTTCTCAAATTATCTTATTTTTTGTTCCATAGTTTATGTTAGCCGTTGTAGCCTAAATGTTTGTGCAATACATTTTATGTTGAATCAAATAAAATATTTCTAAAGCTACAATTTGTAATGTCTACATGATACTTTCTCATTTAACACAAAAATAGCTGTTTAAATAATCTTTTGTAAGTATTTTCAGTCAAATTTATTTTGCGATTAATTAGATTAATCGAAACATCATGTAATTAATTAGATAAAACATTTTAATCGACTGACAGCCCTAATATATATATTGGCATGTTAACGTCAGGAAAAAATATTTCTTTTTTTTTATTAAACATTCTTCAAACTGTATTTTCAATTTATGCTAAGCTTTTGCTTAATGTTTTCAATAATCACTTTTATTTATATAGCTATAGTGTATTTTAGAATTGTAAAATGTTAAACACCTGTGGAGGTGTTATTTTTTTATCGTATTTTAACCGTACAGATTGTTTGTTTATTCAGTCAACAAAACAAACCAATCAACATCTTTATTTAGCGCCTAAGATTTTCATAACTGCACGTGTTGTACACATATTCTGATACTAGTGGGATGTGAAAACAGTTTTTGGAAACTTGCTCTGCTGTCTTGTTTTCTTGGATTGTTACATTGGCTCATTATCAAGGGTTTACGCCTTGTGCTTCACCTTGTTAATAAGGAGTTCTGGAAGGTGATAGATCCTCCGAACACCCCAGAGCTCAAAACTGCCACTCACTCTCAGAAAGAGCTCAGCAGCTGATATTCAGCATATCAAAGACTCCCAGAATCGCGCTAGAATTAGGATCAGGAATCGTGTTTCGTGTTTTCTCACGTCCTTGACTTCATCCAGCACCCTAATTGAACCACTACACTCGGCATCAACCTGTGCGGTTATTAAGGTGTTTCTCTCAGGCGAGTCATTCTGGTGGGCCGAACTACAGATAAGGATCAATAGAGATGGAGAGCAGCGCTGGCAGGCTCACTGTCTCTGTCTTTCTCTCTTGCGCCTGACCTTTGTAAATGATTATAGACTACAAGCATTTCTTTCTTCACCGCCTCCTGTCTCTGTCTCACAAGTAGACAGGTAGGCAATTGAGAGAAAATGACATTTCGACAAAACTAGTAGTTTCTAAACTCAGCCGTATGAGCAAGTCCACATCAACATCACCTGAAAGTAATATAGCAATATACAAAATATATTTTTTTGTTTATTTTATCAAATGTTTTGGGTCAGTGCACAGACTTAAAAAAATGTAAATATTAAAGAAGCATAATATAATATTTTCAACATTGTTAATGTTTCTTGAACAGCAAATCATTAGTGATTTCTGAAGCATCATGCGACACTGAAAACACTGGAGTAATGATGCTGAAATTCAGCTTTGCATCACAGGAATAAATTATATTTTAAAACATTAAAATAGACATCAACTCTTTAAATTGTGAAATCTCTCTCTCTCTCTCTCTCTATATATATAACATTATATTTAAATTTTGTAATTTAGCAGACGCTTTTATCCAAAGCGATTTACAAATGAGGACAATAGAAGCAATCAAAACCAACAAAAGAGCAGTAATATGCAAGTGCTATATTAGTATATTATTATAGTATTATATTTCAATGTCACAAAGAAATATGCAGCATTTTGTCCAAGCAATAATAAAAGGACACATTTAATTTATAATTTGTCTTAAATCTAATTTTGTTAAAAAAAATTATAATAATCACAAATCAAATCGAATCGTGAAATCAAAACCGCGAATTGAATCGTGAGTTGAGTGAATCGTTACATCCCTACAGGATATACATAATCTATTAATATAATATAATGACTGCATATAGATTCCATATAGATTATCAACTTGAAGTTTCACTCGTATCTTAAGAAGTGAAACTTCAAGGGAGAGCAATGCATGCTGGAAAGTTGCTACTAGCCATTTGTTGCTGCTTTGGAATCTATATGCAGTCTCAAGATGATTATAATTATGAATTTAATTGATACTAGTTATGATTTAAAAAAAAACAATGCATTTTAGGGTCGAATGTGTAATTTATGTTATGACTGAAATAGTTCAGCACTTTGAAACACTCTCTGTCGACCATTGGTCATGAAAACAAATAGTCCTGCCCCAAACTTGCACAACTGGTTAAGAAAACTTAATTTTTTATATTATAGTATCAAAAAAATATTACACTCTTTAGCTTTAATTTCAGAGGTGATAACTGGACTCTGTGAATCTAAAAGACTGTGAAATAAATGTAAAGCATTCATTGTTATTGCATACTATATTGAATACATACTGGTTTACAGTATGTACTGTGCAGCAAGTATTATGCTAGGATTCCATTCTGAACACAGCCGTAGTGTTGCACGCTTTTGATTTTAAGGAGGTTCTCCAATCGGTATTCGCAGCGGTGAACAACCGTGTTAAAGGCACAATATGTAATTTTTGCCGCTAGAGGGCATGTATACAAAATAAACAAATAGACAAAGGCGTAGTTTGATGACGCCGTGACTGAGTGTGGAATCATGGGAGTTGTCGTCTTCATCCCCACAGCCGATGCAATCCGACGGGACTCGGGCAGAAATCATGTTCATGGATGAGCTAATGATTTATTAACATAGTAGAATGAAGCAGGGTGAGGCTGAAAGCCGTTGAAGTGAAACGAGGCCGCTGAACGAGCGTGACACACGGCTCGAAAGCAGTGGAGCTTTTATTATGCCACAGTCGACCGCTTCCACTCCTTCCGGTCGTGCGTATGTGGGAAAAAAAAGCAGCGCTGTTTTATCATACTAGATACATTTGAAAGTTATAATCCTACTCTGTGTGGTCGTCACCGGTCTATTAAAACGCACAACATATTAAAGCGTCTTTGGTGTTTCCATGTTTTCTACAAAACAAAACCTGAAATCGAGGGGTTATGACGTCATTGGCAGGCGACACTATGGACACGGTCCGTGTCACTAGTTAAAATTGCTTATTTCTGTGGATTTAAACATTCTTTTGAAACATTTGGGATAATGTAAGTACACAAGTCAGCAAAATATATAACACTGTTCTAGTGGTTTTTGGATATTTTAATAAAAAAATCTTACATATTGTGCCTTTAAAGTTGAACAGCAGGTTTTGTGATTGAGGTCAGTCATTAAACAGTGATTATGTGGAGCTACAGAGCTCTGGATTACAGATGGCGTAACTAGGTTCCCCCTTCACTCCTCATCAAATAATCGAATATGAACGCAAGTCAGCGCTCTAGCTGCAGGCGGTGAGAGAAGATCAGCTGCGACACCAAACAGTCCCTGTTCTTCTAGAACCTTCTGTTAAACACAGCGAGTCGCTGCATTGTGTCCGTACAGGGCCTCCTTACCTCGCATTACTTCAAATAGATTCACACACACCCCACCGTCGTCTCTTTTATGTGCCCTCGGGCGCATTCACCGTAGCTGTCAGGGTCAGGTGAAAGTTCAGTGCACCAGATCACTGACATGCAGTGGTGGCGCTGGCCGTGTTTACGTGTCAGCTCGCTCTCTTCGGGGCATCCATGCGTGTGCATGCAATGTGCACGACTTCCCTTCCGATTAGCATAACCCTGACTTAATTAGCATGTAAACGTTGGCTTGAATTAGCGGTTTGTCAATTTCCCCCTCTTCATTATGTTATTTAGTTTGTATTTGTGAAAGGAGGGGCGGGCGGCGCAATTATTTGGACAAATTGTTTCTAACAGTACAAGTGACAAATTCAGTCAATTAAAAGTAATCTACATACACAATGGAAATGTTTTACTCTGCGACTGATTTACGTCACTCCTGCAAAAGGAAAACAGTGTGTTACAATCGTTTTTGTCTTGTGTTCCCCCATAGATCCATCTGTAAGACTCAAATACCCCTTTATCAGTCGACACAAAAACAGAAATTTGTTCATATTAAATCACAGTATACTAGATACCAGTAATCACTATTATTAATATAGTTAAAAAAAATCTGTAGGTGGAAAAAGGTCTGTTTTATCATAATCTAATATATTTTAATATATAATATACACAATTTTATTAAAATAAATTGCTATAAAATATATATAAATGCTATCATATGTTTAATTTTTTTAAATATACTGTGTGTGTGTGTGTGTATAAATATGCACTGTCTGTATGGACAAAAGTATTGGGACACCCCCCTCTAATGTACAGGTTTGACTACTTGAGTAATTTAGTAAAAACACAATTCCCTAGAATATAATTATATGCTTAAACATTAAGATTTGTACTCATGGAAATCACTAAAGTAGTCAAACCTGTTCATTAGAAGATGGTGTCCCTATACTTTTGTCCATATGTGTGTGTGTGTGTGTGTGTATATATATATATATATATATATATATATAAACAAACAAAACAAAAACAAGAATGATCACAATTAGCTTTTTTTTTTTGACACCCCTAATATTTTACATTTTCAAAGCAAAATTAAACTATTTCCAGGTCTATCCTCCTGGCTGGGAATTTCTTTTTGGAACGTCATCTGTCCTGTATCCCACCTCTGTTTTGTTCCCACATTTCCCCCACTTAGTTTCATAACTCCAGCAGCCACTGCGGCTCGGTGAACGCACTTTCTAATGGGGCCGTCGATGACACACAAAGCCGTTCTTGTTTTGTTTTTTTTTGTTTGTTTTTTTTCTTTCTTCTCTCTCGAGATAATGGCCACAGTGGTGTGAGTGTCAGGGTGAGGAGAGGTGAGGACTCTCTCTGCATTCTGTGCCCGGTAGCGCTCACTCCGAGCGGGGGAACAGAGGACGCGCAGCCCCCTCTTCATCCACCCCTCCCGGCGTGGCTGGCTCTGTCACTGCCTGCTAGGGTGAGATGACTTTACCTGCGGGCTGTGCTTTTTGAAAATCGCTCGCTCTCTCATTCTCAAACACTCACTCACTTTCTCGCTCATTCCCTCGTGGAAAGAAATTGAATTAAGCACCCAGATACGGCGAAAGCTCTGAGTTATTTGCTGCATTGAAGTTGTGCGTGATGTTTGGAGCTTCATTTTGCTCTATAGAGCTCTTCGGGGCAGTTTGGAATGAATGTAAAATACACAGCATACAAATATTTGAAAATGATAATTCAAGTAAGGGAATGTGTTCCACAGTAACGCTTATTTGGGAACTTGTTATTCACAGTCCTACACAATGTATAAATTGTCTGTTTCGCATGAATGGCTTTGATATAGCGTTCATGCAGTTAATATTGATTGAATGTTCTTGCCATTCAGATGCAGCAGCAGGAACTCGCCCAGATGAGACAGCGGGATGCCAACCTCACAGCCCTTGCCGCCATCGGACCCCGCAAGAAACGCAAGCTTGACTCTCCTGGGGCCTCGGCAGGTGCAGAGGTAAGACCCTCAGGCCCTTATTTATATGGACCTCCATACTAAGTTTCATGTGGGCCAATGCCAATTAGATTAAAGCATGTCAGCTCCTGAAGTGTAAGATGTTTCCCTCTCAAAGTCTCAAGAAAAGGATTTTTCAAATCCAGCAAATATTCAAAATTGACAACAAAAGGAAATCTTAAGGATACAAAATTGTCGTCATCATTGGCAAGATTTTAAGCTTTTGCTTCATAAGTTTAAAATAGTGCAGCAGTGACCGTCCAGTTTTAGTTGCTTCAATATTTTTTTCTTCTTCATTATTCTTTAATAAAGACATAAAGACTTTAAAGCCATAAACCAAATAACCAGATCTAAGATGGTTCACATTATAAACAAAATAGAAACATGAAATGGAATAAAGACTGTACAAGATTTTGTACTTTTGTGTGAGAATGAATTACAGAGAACTTCAAACGTTGTCAAAAACTATGGTAAAACTATTAGTATAATAAATTATATATGGCGTCAATTCTTTTTTTTTAAAGAAATTAATGCTTTTATTCTACAAGGATGCATTTATATTTTCGAAAGTAACGGTAACAAAAAATGTACAAAAAAAGGTAGTCACACTTTAATTTGGGGACCAAGTCTCACTATTAACTATTAGCTATGACATTTGCTTCAAACATCCAATTTGCTGGTTATTAATAGTTAGTAAGGTACTTATGTTTAGGTATTGGGTAGGATTAAGTGATCTAAAATATGGTTATGCAGAATAAGGCATTAATATGTGCTTTATTAATACTAATATACAGCCAATATGCTATTAATATGCATGCTATTAAGCAACTAGTTAATAGTAAAAATTGGTCCCTAAAGGGTTACCAAAAAAAGTAACATAACAGTAAAGACATTTATAATGTTACAAAAGATTTCTGTTTTAAATAAATGCTGTTCTTTTGAATTTTCTATTCATTAATTAATCCTAAAAATAATCTATCATAATTTCCACAAAATGATAACCAACGATATTGATAATAAAAACATTTTCTTGACCACCAAATCAGCATTTTATGTTATAGGTTATATTTAAAATGTTAATATTATTTCACAATATTACTGTTTTTACTGTGCTTTCATAAAAATGAATGCTGCCTTGAGACAAGAGACTTGTTTCAAAAACATTTAAAAATGTTAGGACCCTAAATAAGTTTATAAAATATAAAAAGTAGGGATGCACCGATGTATCGGCCACCGATATTTATCGTCCGATTTTTTTATTATTTTAAAGCCATCGGCATATCGGAAATAGCATGAAAAGGGCCGATACCGATGGTTTATTAATTAACTACATGGAGACAACAAGTTGTATGTCTGTTGCATAATCCAACGTTTTTCTCTGGGCAAAATGATTAAATACTTGCCAAAATAAAATCTGTACAAATTATAGTTTGTCAGACGGCATAGTACGGCCATATGCAAACGTGAACCTGACGCATCCAACGAGTGAAATCCCTGCTCTCAGCTGTAAATTCATTATAGGTAAGTCGCAATGGCAATGCACCGGCGTTAGAGTTTATCCGAAGATATGTCACAAACCTTTGCATTTGGCCTACATTTAAGTGAAATGAATGGCAGGTAATATGCAGCTTTTTGTTTGAAACCAGTGTAGAACACGGATTCACACAAGGTTACATCACGCACCTGCAGCGTTTCTGTGAACGGAGAAAACAGAATAAAACTATATAGGCTACATAAAAAGGAATATATAGGCCTATACACAAAATATATTTCACTTAAATCATTAACAGATTAACAAAACGAAAGAAAGAAAAAAAATTGTGCTGAGTTTCGGATAATTGTAACACGCTCCGAAGTTCACGAAAAAAAAAAAACGAGATGGCAGAAAACTGTTTTCTTTATTTTCCAAAAGCTTTACAGTTTTGAATGATGTTTTGCTTCTATCTGTATGACAAACCAGCGTTGGTATGACCATAAATTACAGAGTAACAGTTGGGAAAACAATGCAGTGATGGTGCCTCACACGCACATACAACTAATTTTTGCTAATTTGACATCGCAGCCTGTTCATTATCAAAATAAAATAGTTAAAGAAACATAAAAAGTTGCACTGCTCAATTTAAATAGTCCGTAGTACAGTCTGTGCCGTTCAGTGTGACCAGCGCCTCAATGCTGATATAGCCTATATGTGAAGGATGATGTTTTACGTTGATAATGTGAGTGAAGAACAAAGCCTATAGTTTACAAAATAAATATGTTAGCATCCAGATACTTCGCGAATATGGAAACATTTGGATTCGTGCAGAATGAGAGAGGTAGGCTTCAGTTTCGTTACTAATTTAGGCTGTTTTTTTTCCTCTCAAAACGTTTATAGGAGTAGTGTTTTTTTATCCATGCTGAAACATTTTTAAATATCTTGAAAAAAATGATTTAATGTGTTTTATTGCCTTGACAGTTTTTTCTTTTGTTTAATACATTTGGTCTTTGGTAAATCTAGAAAAGATGATGCTGTATTGGCTATGACTAAGCTTTTTTTCTTTTTGAGTAAATTAAACGCTGTACTTTTATTATTATTATTATTATTATTATTATTATTATTATTATTATTATTATTATTATTATTATTATTATTATTATTATTATTATTATTATTATTATTATTATTATTATTATTATTATTATTATTATTATTATTATTATTATTATTATTATTATTATTATTATTGGCAAAGAAAAAGTTTTAAAAATAACGTTATTAACCGGTATGTTTTCTACTCAAACCAGTTTCACAGAGGAACGCAGGAACAGAAACGTTCAAATACCGATTCTGCTCGGAGTGAATCGATCTTTTTTTTTTTCTTTCTCGTTTTTAAGCCCTGCTTTATGCAATTGACCAATATCGGTATCGGAATCAGCCAATAGTTGTTTGTTAAAATCGGTATCGGCCAAAAAAAAATCCTATCGGTGCATCCCTAATAAAAAGTTTGACAGCAGTGTAAGAAGAAGAACATTATTTAACATAAAAGAATGCCTTTAACATTATTTCTTCTCAGCTCATGGTAATAAGATGAAAATGTATGGCCATAACAAATGCCCCAACCAGTCACATGCTCACTACATTTTTTGCTTGAGCAAAGCTTATTTTTGCCAATTTAGTAAATCAAGCCAGTGTCATTTCAGTTCTGTGTAAATACTGTCTTCACATGCTGCTGCCCATGGCATATTATCAATAAGAGACGTGTCAGACGATATCGCACATAAACGATCATTACCACTATCAACAATAACAGTAGGGGCTGTGTTCTAATGACCCGCCACATGGCTTAGATCTTCTCTTTACTTGCATTGCAGCAATCTGCTGCTGTGAAGGGCACTAAATGTCCCTTTATGGAGAGCATAAATAACCAAATAAAAGCATTATTTCTGCTCTATGAATGCACTGCCGACCTCTTTCACTATGGATTACCTTCATCCACCCACATAAAACGTAACCAAAACAGATCAGCAAACCTGATGCTTTCACAGATGAATTTTTGGCATCACAGGTAGGAACATTTGCATCTCACACGTCCAGAATGTAGGCAAATAGACGTCTTCTCTCTTCATTTTCAGCCCATCATTTCTGTCTTTCACATCCAACTCAACGTTGCCCTCGGCGGTGCCCCCTCCCAACTCGTGCGCAGAAGCTCACACACACCCCCTCAATGTGGAGCAAAGTGAATATGACTTTTCTAAAGGGGTCGGTCCTCGCCCAGGGGTCCGTGGCTGGGCCTGCTCTGAAGGGTCCAGTCAGAGATTTCATCTCCACAGCAATGTGCCTGAAGGGCAGCATGGCCCGAAGCGGGAGGCAGCCATGTCATAATGGCTCCACTCATTCTTCCCCCACCCCCGCGTCCTGACAGCAAAATACCTCGTCCTTGCTCCACGTTCGCTTCTAAATAAAAGCTTCCTGCGGTGTCATTCTGCAGGGATCTTCATCGGGATAAAATGCTCAAGTTCTTGTTTGCAGCGGTTGAGGAAAGGGTGGCGTTTTCTGCTTGCTCTTTGTCTGGCCTCAACGTCCTTGAGGCGTTTTGTTGTTTGATTGCTATTCCGTCTGTCTTTGGGTTGATGAAGCATTTAGACCAGAGGGCAGCCCTGTAGGACTGCTCGAGGGTAGATTAGTCACAAGGGCAGGTGATGAGGACGTTTCTGAAGGGCGAGTTGTAGGGCATGCTGTAATAAAGGCCGCTGAGTTCCTGTGGGCCTGCATACCAGACTGAGCCTATGGGCAGATCACACATGAGGGTTCAGAGTTGAGCTGTCCTAACATAGGCAGCCCATATTAACATGTTCATCCCAGTCCTGAGGCCAGGGAGACGGAGAGGATGACGGATTGAGAAACAATCCATGTGGAAAAAGAGGAAGAGAAGATTTTTGTACTGTGTCTGGTGCTTTTCTTGTTTTATTACTGTTATAGTTCTTGAAAATCGCCATGATTCTTGATGCCAATGAACCATGAGTCTTCTTGGCCCGTAACATGTTGAGGACAAGTAAGGATGGGTTCTAAATTTAAAAGAATAGCTGAGTCCAATTGCTGACTCTAAAGTGCCCTTTCGGTCTGGTCTGTGTGCCCCCGGACCGCGATTTCTACCGAGAAATCAACAACCACCAACCACCCACCCACCCCCCATTTTTGGGTGAACTATCCCTTTAACCATGTGCTTATAATAAACAATGTTAGTGTGTGTTGGTATGGATGCTTCCTAATATAGGAAGAATTATAGTGATTCTTGACGCCAACCAAACCACGAGCACCTTCTCGGTCTGCATACATTTCGTAAGTGTAACATGTTGGCCTTAACTTTCAGCTCAAGTCGAGAAAAGCGAGTATTGTGAAAATAAAAAATTGAGATGGAAAGCAAGAAGAAATGTATCTCTCGTACAAAAAAACGAAGGATGGATATACGGTTGCCCTTCCCTGCAGCAGAATTAACAGGCATCACATGGAAAACAATCTCAGC